GTTTGCGAAAAAGGATGGGTCCATTCTTTTAGCAAATTTGATTGAGTACCAGCTTCTCTGAACTATATATTATGCCAGGTTCTGAAGGGAAAGCAATGAATAAGACATTAAGGAACCCTCAAGGAACTCATGATACCTTTAAGGAACTCATGGTCTAGTGGGGGAGACAGACAAATAAGCAAATAATTACAATTCAGACTGTTGGGTAAACTCTTAGACAATGGGTATCAGATATAGAAGTAACATAGATGAGTAACCGATAAGTCTGTGATCTGGGAGTGGTAGATAGGGGTGTTGGATAAGAAAACTGTGATGAAGACAGATCATATTTTAGCTTAGAGAAAAAGAAAAGAATAGAAAAAAGCAGAGAATAGCAGTAGGTAAATACCAGGCCCTAAAGTATTTGGTAATGGGGGAACTGTTATCTATACAAGATTTTTCACCTTCCTTACATAGCTTACTTCGACCATCCTAGCAATTATAAATTTGGCCTATGAATAAATGAGAACAAATTTTTACCCTAGACATTGGTTAGTAGTATGACCTTATTTTTTTTTATGTATTTGATGTGGACCATTTTTTAAATCTTTATTGAATTTGTTACAGTATTGCTTCTGTTCTATGTTTTGGCTCTTTGGTCACAAGGCAGGTGGAATCTTAGCTCCCTGACCAGGGATTGAACCCACTCTGCCTGTGTTGGAAGGCAAAATCTTAACCACTGGACAGCCAGGGTAGTCCCTGGCCTTGCTTATTCTGTATCTGTCTTTTAGACATGTCTTTCATAGGCAGTAGATATTTCGGAGCAATATTTAAGAAAACCTTTAGATTTTAGAAGTAAAGGTATTATGGGGGAAACTTTACAAAATTCTAATCACAGCTTTGGAAATACCTCTATTCCTAGACTCAAACAAATATTTTAAAAGGCAGGAGAAAATGGTAAGACAGAGGTTTCAGCGTTAAGGTGGCTGTCTTATTGATTCAGTCATTCAACACATATTCATGCAGGACCTGCCTACTAGGTACTAGGCTCTAGGCAGAGAGTACCAGGGCCAGCAAGACAGATGTGGCTCCTGCCTTCCTGGCTAAGCAGGCAGACGCAGTGAACATGGAAACTCGTGCATAATTACTGACGGTGATCAGCTCTCTGATAAAGAATAAGAAGGTGCTAGGAGAGAGTAACAGGGAGCAGTTCAGGGAGTAGTCAAGATCTTGCTGAGGAAGTGACTTTTGAGCTGAGACCTTAAGGATGAGTCAGATTCATCTGGTGAAGGAGGTGGGAGGAAGGGGAGGGTACGCTTTCTAGAGACAGACTTGAAACCTGTGCTTTCAAAGCAAAAAACAAATGTACAACCCCTAACACTCCTCTTCCTAAGCTTCCCTCTTTGTAATTTATTTTCCACTTTCAGATTTTGGTTCATGTTAATTTAATAAAACTGATTTTTTTTTCCTGTCACCTATACTCTTTCAACACTCTAGCCTTCCTTTTGAGGCCCTGCAGCCAAGTATTGAAAAATCCAAGCCTTTGTCAATACATATGGATCTACTTTATACACACACACACACACACACACACATATATATATATGTTTTTTGGAAGATCAAAACTTCAGCTATCTCATACTGTGATGGTGAGGTTAGATGAATGAAAAGAACAGAGTCTGGCACTTGGTAAGGATACAACAAATGTGATCTATTAGTTCAGTGTATGTGTGTATCATGATTTATTTACTGAGTATCTTATTGATAGGCCATTATTTTGTTTCCAATCTTTTGTATTACAAATAGTTTTGCAGTTTCTAAGATTTGATTGAACAGGAAGACAGTATTACACTTGATTTTGTTAGTCCAAGCCTGCAGTTTAAGGCAAGCCTTTGTACTCTGATTCTCCAAAGATTTCCCACTTAGAGCAAATCCAGCCAGCTGCCTTGCACTTGGTTCTGTTCCTTACATCTCTGCTCAGAAACTTCCAAACATTATCCTGTTTGGACTGTGATAGGCAACAGTTCCAGAGAACTGTTCCCTTACACACCCACACACCCACACACACAGCTGTGCTTCTGAAAACTCTGCTGAGCTCTCTCTCCTAGCTCACTCTGTTCAACCTCCCCCTTTTAAAATTTCTGTCACCAGATACCTGCATGAGGAGTCAGAATGCTAGGATTCAAGTTTGAGTTCAATACTAATTAATTAGCTGTGTTGCACCAACCCCTGGTATTCTGAGGGTCATTGGCAAAAACAAGTGTAAATAGTGGGTTGAGAAACTTCAATCTCTCATATATCCACTCGGTGATTTGTACTACTCAGGTCTGCCATTTCCTACTCTGGCTTAGTCCTAGAGCCATTTGCCTGCTTCAGGATAGCAACTATATTTAAGTTACTATTTAAAAAAATTTTTTTGGAAAAGGTTATACATCCATGTGCAAAATTTAAACACACACACAATGTTGTTAGAAGTCAAAATAGTGGTAACTCGAGTAGTGATCAGGCAGGGACATCGGAGGACTTTGACAAGTTGGGAATTTCCTGATCTGTGTGCTGGTTACATGGGTGTGTTCAGTTTACAAAAATGATGCTGTACACATATTTTCACCTTTATGTATGTATATTATACATCAGTAAAAAGTTCTTAAAAAAATCTTAAAATGTCTAATTGACCATATAGGGGGAAGTCTCCCTCTTCCCTTCTGTTCCCAAGAATCCCAGTTCCCCTCCTGGGAGACGACCACGGCTTTCTTTCTTGTGTATCCCCTCAAACCTTTTTGGTGTATAAATAAATTTATAAATACATATTCATTTCTTTCTTTATACAAGTGACAGCATGTTATACACACTATTTGGGTCTTGCTTTTTTCTCAGTTAATAACATAGCTTACGATGTTCCATTCCTTACATGTGGAAGAGACCACTGTCTTGTTCATGGTTGTAACCCTAGGGCAGACTCAGTGCCTGGCATATAAAATACTTGTTAAATAGTCCTCCAGAGGACCAGCCGGTTACAATACTGAAACTAACTTCTTTATGGGGTAATGAACTCAACCTGGAGTCATCCTTACTGGTGCAAAGGACAAAGTAACCCCTCTGAGACAGAAACAAACCAGGGGTTTCTTTAATCAAAGGCAGCCTGAAGTTTCTATTGCAATGATGTAGAAATGAGGAGAGGACAGCAGTTACTTTTAACTTATTTTTTAAAAATACTTATTTATTTAGGCTGCCTTAGGTCTTCTTTGCAGCAGGCGGTCTTTCTCTAGCTGCTTCCAGCAGGGCCTACTCTCTAGTTGCCCCCGAGGGCTTCACATTGTGGTGGCTTCTCTTATGGTAGAGCTCAGGCTCTAGGGCGGGTGGGCTTCAGTAGTTGTTGCCTATGGGCTCAGTTGCCTTGCAGCATGTGGGGTCTTAGTTCCCTGACCAAGTCTGGAGTCCAGTGTCTCCTGCATTAGACCACTGGACCACCAGGGAAGTCCTGAGAGAGGTTACTTTTTAAGTCAGAGAAGGAGCATCAGGACTCAGGGCATCTTCCTCTGTTGTCTGAGGACCTCTCCTGTTGGCCTCTGTGACCTCTCCAGCCGTCTACCCTTGGGACTAGCTGTGGCACTACTAGTTAGTTGCATCCCTTTCAGAGTATCTTTGGTCTGGAATGATGCAAAAACATGCTAGACCCAGTCCTGCCTTCCCAGGGCCCTCTCTACTCCCGAAAGGAACTCCCAAGACCTTCCCCAAGCTCTTTGCTGCTCTCGCCTTCATGAAAATCAAACGCTTGCATACACTGCGTGATTCCTGAAAGGGGTTCGAAATTGAATGGTGTTTCTGTTGAAGCACTAAAATTAACCACGCGGGTGATGGATTACCGGATACCGGTGGCAAGGAGTGACAGCGAGCAAGGGCCGCGAGCAGCTAGCTAATAGGGTCTGTTTCTTCTCCCTGCGGACCCTGGACTTCGTAAGCAACCTTTCCAGGGGTCTTCCAGTCAGCAAGGGATGTGGAAGTCGATGACGACTGTGAGCTCCTCACAAGGAACGGATAGCAGCAAGTAACCCCAGTCCAGGTGCCTATGGCAGCTAGTTTTCAAACACTTGTATTTTTCTTCCTCCTCCACGAAGCTTAACCTCACGAAACTCACACCCTTTTTCTTCCTTTTTTTCGCTCCGCGCGCTGCAGAAGTCCCCGCAGCCCCTCCCCCGCCTTGGTTCCTCTGGGTCCCCCCTCCCCTCGCCGGGCTCCCCCCGCCCCCTCTCCGCGTCCCCCTCCTCGCGCTCCGCCGCCCCCGCCCCGGGCTCCTCTCTGTCTCCCCCTCCCGGACAGCGTCGGCGCTCGGCCGGGCCCTCTGCGTCGCCAGTTTGTGAATGAGACGCTCAGTTTCTCAATGGAGCCGCGGGGGGCTCGGGCGGGCGCAGTGCGGCCGCAGAGCTGGCAGTGAGCCGGGAGGGGGGCGCCTTTCCCTCGCTCCCTCCCTCTCTCCCTTCCCTCCCGCCACCGCGGCTTTTGAGGAACGGGGCTGAGAGGCCGCGGCGCAGGTCGCAGGGCCCCGCATCCGCGAGGACGCCTCCGTCGCGTTCTGCTGGAGCCGGAGCGCCGCCGACGAAGCTGGACGCCGAGGAGGCCGGTGGCCTTCGGGATATTTTCCCCAAATCCCCGCGGTCCTTTGCTCTGGGTTTAGAAACTTCTTGATTTCCCATTTCCTTTTGTAAATTCCGATTAGCTCCTCGCCTGCACTATTTTTTTTTTTTTCTTTTCCGGGAGAGGTGGGGGAGTGTGAGGAAAGGAACGAAGAAAATAAAAAAGGATTTCCGCCCAGAAGAGAGCGACAGTTCTGAGACCTTTTTCTTAAGGAAACAGAAGCGGCGTTTGCGGCCGCCGCGGGCGCGGGGCCCCGCCGGCCCAGCCATGCGCGAGCCGGCCCCGGGCTGCTGAGGCGCGGGCACGCGGAAGCGGAGGCCCACCGCACCAGGCTCCCCGCGCTCCCGGGCGACTTCTGTCCGCCGGGCGGCGGCAGCGGCGGTGGGATGGAGCCCGCGACCGCGCCCCAGCCCGACATGGCGCCGGAGCTGACCCCGGAGGAGGAGCAGGTAAGCCGGGCTGCGGCCGCGACGGTGGGTGTGTCCGGACCCCCGAGGCCTAGCCGGGCTGCGCTCTTCGCGGCCCCGGGTCCGCGATGGCCTCTAACCCCCCTCCCCCCGCGGCCGCGCCCCAGGCCGTCATCCCCCAAGCCAGGGGCGCCGCTGGCCGCTGCTTCTGTCCCCGGCCTCTTCAGTCTGCTGCTTACGGGCCGCGTATTGCCCCCTCCCAGTATTCCGATGATGATTGCAGTTTCTCCAGTTGGGGGCCTCCCTTTACCCTTACCAACATCCCCCGACGTTTGTAAGAACACCTATGTTGCCTCTGGCCCTTCCACCCCTAAACGTGTTTTGCTTCATTCCGTGAGGGTTTGTGGTTTTCTAAGGTCAGAGAAAGCCCACTTTTGGGGGCCGGATTCCTTCGGGGACTGTCTCCCCTCCCTAAGACAGTGAGAAGTCCATAGATGCTCTAGATTTTCAGACGAGCCCCCGGGCTTCTTAGAGGACTGTGGCCTACTTGGACATCATTCTGGAAGATCCAGGCCTTCTCAGGCTCCCAAAGTCCCTGGCCTTGACCGTCCTGTTTAGCTTTCTCTGGCTGGGCGCATCCCTTCACCCCCACTTACCTACCCCCGTCTCATCTCACTGTCTCCATCTTTCTGAAGTCTACATTGCGCCCCATTGTCCCTTAAAGCTTAAGTTCCCAGAAGGAAACGGTTTGCGGTGTCATTCGAGGGCCTCGGATAAGGAGAGAGCCCAGGGTCCTTATAACTTTCCCTCGCCCACATTACTGTTGGGGAGACATGGATCACTCCTCTGAGGACGGTAGTAAAATCTGCTAGCTGAGATTGGAACGCTAAAGTCTTTTTGCTCTTTCTTCCTTAGCACTGCCCACATCCATGGTCAGATATAACCATGCCCTGATTATATGTTTAAAAGCAAAACAAATAAACAGAAAAAAAACCTAAAAAAAAAAAGATGAACCTTGCTGGTTACCATTTCATGCTTGCCAGGCCTTGTTTCCAAGGACCACATTTGGTAGTACAATCTCTAGTGTGGAAACAGTCTGGTTTCACAAACTAATATTGGTTAGGCTTGTTTAAGACCAGGGTTTTAAAATGCCCTTGACTTTTCTCCTCATTTGTGGAGATGACTTTTTTAATATTTGGCTTCAGACCACAGGCTTGTCTTTTGACGCCTAGAGATAAAATCAGCATGAGGAGAAAAAAAAATTCTGCTCTGTACAAGCAGTGGTAACATCCTGGTAACTGTAGTGTAATGCAAGCAGGTGGCCAAGGAGACCACCCTGCCAAAATTAGGGAAATACTATTTCAGCACTAAGACGCGATGTGTTTGGTTGATTTTAAATGGGCAGAACTCTTTCACTTCTTTTATGTTAGTCAGATTTGAAGTTTTTATATTTTCTGAGACTTGAGGGCATCAGTATTCCACTATGAAAATGTCATTTGGTTACGAATTAAAAAATGTAAACTGAGAGAAGTAAATGTTAAAGTGTACATAGTATTGATGAAGTATTAACTTTATTCTCTACGTATATACAATGTGTATACATATATACAACTGTGTTTAAACTAGAAATAGTATCAAATGAATTGATGGAATTAACAAGGACTAGATAGAAATAGTAAAATGTACATATATTAAGATCAACAAGTTCTGTGGGTTTTTTAACCGTAACTTTTCCTACAAAACACCAAGTTTTCTACAGGCACTTCCAAATGTTGAGACATAAACATAAAAGCATAATTCCAATTGTGGTAATGCCTGATAAAATATCATATTTTAATTTAATGTCACATGAGAGTACTCTTAACTGGTAAGATTACTTTAAAATATTGAAATTAAACAGCAGCAGATGCACTTTTGGCTTATCAAAGTAGTTATCGTGGGAAGTAACACTTCATTCGGTAATGCCCAATTGCTCAAACCAGTTTTAGAACTCATTTGGAGTTGATGTCAAACTTTGTGTCAGAATCTTTGAAATATGTTTAGTGTTGGGAAAATCTTGCACATTTGAGCATCCATCTGATTTTGGGAAATAGAAAAAAATTTTTTGGAATCCTGTTTCATAGGGAAAGGAGGATATCAAACTGTTTAACACAGTTTCAGGTTCTTTATGAGGTGTGTAAACTGTCTTAAAGATGTTTTTGGAACAGATCCCTCTCAAATAGTACCTTTTTCTATATAGTCGTGCAAATCATAAACCCAAAAGTTTTCTTGGATACTTTGCTCTTTCAGCCCCTGTATGTGTTGTACATCATCAGGTTTTCCTGACTATCTCTTGAATTCTTTGGCTTCTTCCACCCTTACCACCACCATTATTGTCACCCTAGTTCAAGCTGCTGTCATATCCTGACAGAATTTTTGTTTTCTACTTGATCCATCTGCATTCCTTAGCTCTTTTTCCAAGAAACACAGGCAAATCGCAAATCTGATTGACTCTTCCCTTCCCTGTGTGTGTTAGTCGCTCAGATGTGTCTGACTATTTGTGACCCCAGTGAACTGTAGCCCACTAAACTCCTCTCTCCAGGCAAGAATACTGGAGTGGGTAGCCATTCCTTTCTGTAGGGGATCTTCCTGACACACGGATTGAACCTGGGTCTCCTGCATTGCAGGAAGATTCTTTATCATCTGAGCGACCAGGGAAGCTCAAAATTTAAGCATTTATAAAACCCTCAGTAGCTTTTCATAGCTCTTGGGATTGTTACAGCTCGTGAATGATTTGTTACAGCTCTTGAATGTGGTCTGCAATGTCTCAGCCCTTGTATGGTTTAGAGCCCTAGCTTATTCTCACAGTTCATCTTTGCTCCAGGAACACTGGCCTTTTGGTCCTGCATTCTTGCCTATTTCCTCCTGTTCCAAGGTCTTTGCACGAGTTGCTTTCTTCTGTCTGGAAATATCCTCCACTGTTAATTCCTTCTTCATCCTTCAGCTCATGGGAAGGAAGACTTTCCTTGTTCTCCTTAGCTAGGTTAGATCTGTTATTGGCTCTCAGAGTACCATGTACTGTCCTCTACATCACTTGTCACAAGTTTACACTGTTTGTATGATTGTATGGGGCTTCCCAGGTGGCGCTAGTGGTAAAGAACCCTTCTGCTAATGCAAGAGATAAGAGATGCTGATTTGATCCCTGGATTGGGAAGATTCCAATATTCTTGCCTGGAGAATCCCCATGACCAGAGGAGCCTGGTGGGCTGTAGTCCATAGGGTTGCAAAGAGTCAGACACAACTGAAGCGACCTAGCATGCACATGATTGTATGATGGGAAGCTCAATGAGGCTTGAACTTTGTCTGGTTTTGCTCACCATTATATGAACATTGCTGAGTATGACTGACACGTAATGAACTGTTAGGAAATATAGCACTGGTGGAATGAAGAGTAGTTCTATATGTGATTTGTTTACAGACAGCATCATCTTTCCAAGTGGCTTATAAAAATAAGGGCATTGTTCATTTTTATGTTTTGAAGGTCATCATTATTACTTAATAGTCTCATTTCCTATCTAGGCATGTTTTGAACTGATATTATACCCAGTCCTTTGTAACCTTGATGTTTCTTGCCTTTATATTTTCAGTTCTCAATATTATAAAGCCTACAATTGAGTTAGAAGAAAAAGTATGCTTTGCCTTTAAGAAGTTTGCATGAATAACAGCAGAGTAATAACAGTAACTGTTTCCTGTGCTCCTGCTTTGAGTCAGGCTCTGTGCTGGGCATTTCACATACTGTTAGTCCTCATAAAATTGGAATTATTATCTCATTTTGCAAATGAGAAAACTCAGACGGAGAGAAGGAAATTGCCCAAATGGACATAGATGGCAAGTAATGGGGGCTTCCCTGGTGGTTCAGTGGTGAAAGATCCACCTGCAATGCAGGAGACCGGGATTGATCCCTCTGCTGGTCGGGAAGATCCCCTGGAGAAGGAAGTGGCAACCAACTCCAGTATTCTTTTCTGGGAATTCCTGTGGACAGAGGAACTTGATGGGCTGCAGTCCATGGGGTCTCAAAAGAGTTGGACATGACGCAGAGACTAAACAACGACAGCAGCAAGCAAGTGATGGAGCCTTGATTTCCACTCAGCTCTAGGTTATTCTGCCTTCACTGGAGATGCTCCCTCTGTTACACTCACTACATTACATCTTGTGAAGCAGTTAACCAGCTTAATAAGATGCCTACATGGATATGTAATAGCTAATTTGGGGTTTTGGTATTGATACATATATGCACATATATACATGTATTGATATGTGTTTGATTTTGAAGTTTTTTTTTAAATGAAGAGAGTTTTTTTTTAATTTATTTGGCTGCACCAGGACTTAGTTGCAGCACAAGAGATTGTTGATCTTCATTGTGGCATGCAGGATCTTTAGTTGTAGCATGTGGGATCTAGTTCCCTGACCAGGGATGGAACCTGAGCTCCTTGCATTGGGAGCTCAGAGTCTTAGCCACTGGACCACCAGAGAAATCCTTGATGCTTCTTAAAATATAGTATTAAAAATTCAGGGGCTTTCTTGGTGGTCCCATGGCTGGGAATCCACGCTCCCAGTGCTGGGGGCTCGAGTCCCTCCCTGGTCAGGGAGCTAGATCCCACATGCTGCAACTGAAGAGTGAAGATTTGGTGTGCTGCAAATAAGACCCTACACAGCCAAATAAATTTAAAAAAAATTGCAGACAGAAAAATATGTAAAACCTTATTCAGACCTGTTTATTTCCAGCAGAAACATATTGTACAGCCTGTGCAAGAAATTATGATGAAATTACTCTTGGAAAAAATTTGTTCCTTAAGATAGAGTTGGCAACTCTCCATTTTGAGGTGTGGTTACAATAAAAATTTACTTATTAAAATATTTTCTTTTTCTTTTGAATATGAGAAATAGCTATTCTTAGACCAAATATGAAGGATATTATTTCTCCAAACTGTAAAAACCAAGGTGTTTTTGTGTCAGGAATATATTCTTTTTTTTTTTGGATATGTTTATATGTGAATATAAAA